GTTCTGTTAACAAATGAAGCAACAAAAAAAGTTTCTTAGAAAACCACTGATTTTCTCAGTCATCTCTGTAACTAACCACCTAGCAGGAATATCATGATTTTCCAGATTTTCTTCCACCAAAAAACATGGGGGGAAGCACTTCATGTGGGTATCCAGGGCTTGGCCCCAAACACCTCCAGATGTCTGCGAGAGCCCCAAAGGGACATCAGGATTCAGCTGCCAGTAAGAGCAGACTAAGCCTGTGTCTTGAGTGTCTCATTGCTGGGACAAAACACCCAGGGCTCACGAGTCAAAGTAAGAAAAGTTGCCTTGGGCTCATAGTTTATAGAGGTTTCAGTCACCAAGTTCCAAGGCAGGGCGGCAAGCAGAGGAGCACAGGCGAGAGAAAGGCCCCACCCACGTGTGTGAGAGGCGTTGGGAGACACTAGAGATGCGACACAGCAGGCGGCTACCATTAGTTCCATCCAATCGCAGTTAATGGCCATCAGGAAGACAAGTATGTTAAAAGAAAAACACAGGGTTGAGGACAAGACAAGAAAGGGTAACGGAGGAGGTGTCAGCCCAAGCTGAGGAGACACAAGCTGGTAAGGTCCCAATGCACTCTCAAGGGAACCATCAGGCCAAAAACTGCAGAACAGAGAAGGCACACAGACAGCGCTCCAGGGAGCAGTCCCAGCCCTGGGACTGTGGCTCCAGGAAATGGGCTGCAGCAGCACTTAGGACGTGTCCTTATCGGCCACATCAGATGGGGTTGTGGCAGGAAAACTGCCAAAAGTAAGCCAACAGCTCAGGAAATACTGCCCTGAGATAAAATTTAGGCTCCACTGGGAAAGCTCTTCCAGCTCCGCCCAGAGGCTTTGAGAGCTACTCTGGACCATCCTCTACAGCGCCCCCTACCGGAAAGAGAACCTGTTGCAGTAACCTGGTGACATTCCCTGCGGCACACTGGGGAAGGAGCCAGCAGCCTGTCTTCTTGCTTGGGACGATGAGGCACCACATCTAGACCCAGGAGAACTGTACAATGAAGGAAGAGGTGCCCCCCAGGAGGGGCACCCTATCAGCTGTGTCCCTTTGTGTTTGTTTGGCCACCAGAAGAAAGACTTCATTTTTCACCAAACCTTCCCCGTCCTTGGGGACACAGAACCAAGTGTGTCCCTTGCAGTTAGGTGGCACCACATGACAGTTCTGGCCAGAGCAGCCAGAGAGGTAACATGTGGGCCTGAGTGATGCACACACTTACAAGCCTGGCCCAGAAAGCTCCTGCATATGTGACTGTTCTTTTTCTGTAACCACTAGCTAAGCGGAGAGCCTTTGGAGGGCCCAAGGAAGATGGACAGTGGAGGGAAGAGGTCTGGATTAGGTAGGATTCCCTAGAAGAGAATCAATAAAAACTCCATGTTATATATAACTATGCAAGGGGATTTATTAGGTGGGCTTACAGCGTCACAGGCAGAAGTGTCTACATGGCCAGCTGAATGCTGGAGACCCAGAGGATCCAGTAGCGGCTCAGCTATGATATGGAAGCCACAGAACAAGTGGAATCAAAAATGCAACAGCAGGGCCAGCCAAACAGCTCACTGGATTAAAGCGCCTGCTTGGCAAACACAGGGGCCAGGAGTTCGATCCCCTGGCCTGCCCTGCCAGCTCTCCCCCACCCCCAACCCCCGCGCAGGGCACACTGAGATGGTAATTGAGACTGGGTATGGTGGCACATGCCTGTAATCCCAACACTTAGGAGGCTGTAAACAGGAGCATCACTACAAGTCCAATCCATGCAGTACGACCCTGTACACCCTGTCCTAAATACAAAAAAAAATAAATAAATAAAATGTAACAACAGTCCAAGGTCAAAGGCCTGGAAGCTCACTGCAGGGTCACAGATGCGAGTCTATACTGGAAGGATGAAGAATCCACTCATCTGGAGATGATCATCTACAAGTGGAGGAGGAAGGGCCTGCACATTTAGAAATCCTGCAGTTCTTCAAAACACACGTGCTTCCTCCTTCTTTCCCTTTTGATACTTGCTCTGCCTACAAGCCCACTGACGGGCACCATCCACAACCTGGAGCCGTCCCTCCTCCATTTACTGGCCTACACCATAGTCAGTCATCCCAACACACCTAAGTCTGTGCTTTATTAATTTGTTAGATGTTTTCATTCCAGAGATGCTGACACATCCCAACCTGTGGTCACAGCTTGCAGAGACCTGCCTAAGAGAAAGCTCTGATAGGAACAGCCACAGGAGGCCTTGCGACCGAGGCCTGTCTGCTTATTCTGCTGCGGTCAGTTGATACACCATTTACATTACTTTTACCAATATAGTTTCATCTTCTTTTTCAATTACAAAAAAAATTCAGGGGCTGGGGTGATGGCTCAGTAGAATAAGCGCTTGCCTGGCAAGCGCAAGGGCCTGAGTTCAATCCCCGGTAAAAAAAAAAAAAAAAAAAAAAAGGAAATGCAGAGTAAAACATTTAAACAATGCAGGTACAATAAAATTGAATTTGCCATCCCTATTTCCTCCCCCTACTATACTTTCCTTGGGGACAAGTCATGTAACAGGAATTCCCCACAAACATCCCATGTATGCATATGAATAGGAGCAAGTTTTACAGCAGACATTAATTTATTTTCTAGGAGACTATACTTTATCTGAGGCTGGGTGGATTAAGTCACTTTCACTTTCTAAAACAAAATACCTTACAACTTGGATTAAAGCGCCTGCTTAGGCAGACGCAGCAGCCAGGGTTTGATTCCCAGCATGCTGTGTGGGCTCTGCCCACAGGATGTGCTGAGACAGCCATTGAGACTGGGCGTGGTGGCACATGCCTGTAATCCCAGCTCTTGGGAGACTGAACATGGGCAGATCACTACCATAGTGAGACCCCAGAGACCCTGTAGACCCTGTACTAAAATACAAAAAAAAAAAAAAAAAAAAAAAAAAAAAAACACCTCACAACCACAAATTAGAGGAGGGTACGTTTACACTGACTCGCAGTTTCAGAGGGCTAAGTCCACATCCAGTTGGCTGCAAGGGACAAACATCCTGGCAGAGTGACACAGCAGAAGGAAAGTGTCCACCCTGTGGCAGCCAGAAGCAAGAAAATACAGAAGGAACCAAGGACAAAATCAGAAGCTTCCAGAGCCCACCTCCTACAAGCATCCTCGGCTATGAGCTCTTCAGTGGAGTGATCCATTCATGAGCAGAGCACATCTACGATCCAGTCATCCTAGAGAGCCCCACCTCGGAACCTATGAGACTTGGGGGGACACTTCAGGTCTAAATTGTAACCCAGATAAACATTTCCAGAAAATGTAGTGAGGAGTAAAAAACTTAATTTTTAAATTTAAGCCAGCAAACAAAAGCAGTCACATCAGGAAAACTGGAAACTATATATTTACTAGCCTCTAATGAAGATAGAAATAGTTCATACTAATTGTAGAAAATTAGAAAATACAGTAAAACAATTGCTCTCAAAAAAGGGGGGGGGCACCAGGGAGATGGCTCAGTAGAATAAGCACTTCCCTGGCTGGCAAGCGCAAGGACCTGAGTTCAATCCCCGGTTCCAAAAAAAAAAAAAAAAAAACTTCCCTGGCAAGTGCAAGCGCCTGAGTTCAATCCCTGGTTCTGCCAAAAAATAAATAAATAAATAAATAAAACAATTGCTCTCTATTATTCAATGGGCACCAACATTAAAACCTTACACATTTCATTGTTTTTTTCCTATGTATATGTTTATGTATGTTTTTAAAAATAAAATTATTTTCTTCTGATTAAAAAGAACAAAACATTTCCCTCTTAGTGCTAAGCAGGCCAGAAGCATGACATTATATTTGTGAGTCAGGAAAATATAATCAGGCAATTCAAAAGCACGCTGCACTCCCATAGTAAAATGACAACACCAGAAAGTATTCCTGAAGGTTGGGTGGGGTAGAGACACCTCAGTGGAAGTGTTTAGCATGTGTGGAGCCCTGACTTTAATCCCCAATACTGAAGGAAGAAAAAAGGTTGAAGGTTTACTTAGAGCAAAGTAAAACTCTCTGCACTAGCCAGGAGCCGGACAAGGCTTCCGGTGCTAGCCACTCTAAAGACAGAATTAAATACGAAGGATGCAACTATGAATTGAGTAACAGCTGCAAGAGATGTGCGGATGCAGCCAGGTTGCACCCCAGGTCACTACAGCTTTAAGTTCTCTTCTAAACTATTAGTATCTTAAAGGTACTGGTACTCTTGCACCCGCCTGCAAAGTAACCTCAAATATTTTGGAAGGATGAAGCAGAAGGATTGCAAATTTGAGCCCAGCCTGGGCAACTTAGCAACATCTGGAGACTCTGTCTCAAAATAAAAATAGAGAAAAAAGGCGGGGACTGCAGCACCATGTGAAGGCCCTGGGTTCATTTATATTTAGACTTTTTTTTTTTTTTTTTTTTTTTTAACCAGGGATTGAACTCAGGCCCTTGTGATTTATTAAATTTTGTAGAACCGGGGAACACAGGCCATCGCGCTTGCCAGGCAAGCACTTATTCCACTAAGCCATCTCCCCGGCCCCTTATATTTAGATTTTTTTTTAAAAAAATTAAAACGAGGAGCTGGAGAGATGGCTCAGTGGTCTAAAGCACCTACTTGGAACAAGCTTGGCAAAGCACAGGGACCACGGTTCGATCCCCCAGCACCACATGCCAGCCAGCCGCGCCCCCTGGTGGGTTGAGCAGGCCACACCCACACAATAAATGTTAAAAACAAACAAAACAAAACAAAAAAAAAAAAAAAAAACGACTTTTTTTACCCAGCTGAGGACAGCCTAAATTACAGACTTTTGATTCTCAAATTAGTCATTTTCACTTTTGTGCCACAATGACAGGTCACAAGAGGCCCTGATCAGCATTATGTCCCATCTCAAATTTGCATGATGAACCTGTCCCCTAACTGGTCTGCGGGCGGTCTTCGGGAGGTGAGTGGGTCGCGAAGGTGGAGGGCTCCTGGACGGGCTTCATGCCCTTACCAAAGAGCTCTCAAAGCGCAAGGGATCCTTCTGCCACCGGAGTACACTGAGAAGACAGTCATCCAGTTATGAGCAAGATTTGAAGCCTTGCCAGACACCAAAACCACCTTGACTTGGATTCCTGGCCTCCAAAACTGTGAAAAATCAATTTGTTTATAAAGCAGCCAATCGATAGTATACTGCAGCATCTGACTAGATTAACCTAAGGAAAAACCATTTACTACCACTAACAGCTAGGGCGCTGAAGTTTAAAATTATTTCTTTTTGTAATGACCTGATGCACATTCAAGAGTATCCCTCTTGTTGTATCCACTCTCCTGTACTCCAAGCTGATACACTTTCTCAATACAGAAAGAAAATGAGCAGTTCCTGCTTGGGACTGCTAGCGCTTCAACCCAGGACCGGCAGGAGAGGGTACAGCGATCCACCAGGGCCACGCACACCGTGTCCCCCCAGCAGTGGGGCCACTCCGCGGATGCAGAGCCCCATTTCAGTTACACCAGTCAGACCGCGGGGGGACTCGGCAGCAGGCACAGTTCAAGCTCCACAAAGGGCCACAGGTGACCCCGCGGCCTCAAGTCTACTTCTCCCGGTCTCCAGGAAGTAGGCAACGGGACCCGCAGCCTGGCTCAAGGGCCGAGCCCGCGGGAACCTCCACACGCCTGGACTAGCCAAAGGCCGTTTCCAAGGAGAAGCAAGGAGCGACCCAGAGACGTGCGTGGGCGGGCTCCTCCCCAGGAGCACGTTCTCCACAGAAACAGAAAGAGGTTGACAACAATATACAATTTATTAATTATTGTAACTGTCCTACTAACCTGTTTTGAAACTTTCATTGCTATATTATTTTCTCATTAAAATAAATAAAAAGTAAAAACAGAAATAGGTAGCAAGCTGGAAGACTCCTCCGCTGTCTCACCTGTAGCCCTGGGGCCCTCCGAGTCCCAGGCGATTACCAAACAGGCCCGTTGGCCGCGCCCTCTGCGTCGCGCGTCGCTATGGTTACTAGAAAGCCCCCCCCCGCCCGCCTACGTGCGCATGCGCCTGACCGCGACGCCACGCCCCTCCAGCGGTGTCCGGAGTAAGGCGCTTACTTCCGGGGACGGACACCTGGCTTCCGGGCGGCGCCGGGCTTCCGGAAACCTTCAGTTCCGGCTGCGGCTCTTTTCGGCCCGCTGAGGCGAAGCCTGTCCGGCCCGGGCGCCGTGGGCTCTGCGCTGCGGTGAGTGGCGCTGCCGCCCAGCTCTTCCGCCGCCCTCCCTGGCATCGCCTCCCCTGCGCCCAGCCCTCCCCGCCCCTCCCCGTGTCCCTCCCCCGCAGCAGCCGGCCCGCTGCCCGCGCTCAGCCCCCTCGCGAGGGCTCCGGAGCAGGCGCGCAGGTGACCCCGCGGTGGCCCGCCGGCCGTCGCATGAGCACGCGCCCGCGCTGAGCGCCGGCGATGGCGGGGCCCTGGCGAAGCGCCCTGCTCGTGCTCCTGGCGTCCCAGGCCGTCGCCCTGGCGCGGGCCTCGGAGGACGACGACGACGACGTGCCTGAGGAGTGGCTCCTCCTGCACGTGGTCCACGGCCAGATCGGGGCCGGGAACTACAGCTACCTGAGGCTGAACCACGAGGGCAGGATCGTCCTGCGGATGCGGAGCCTGAGCGGCGACGCCGACCTGTACGTGTCCGACAGCACCCTGCACCCGAGCTTCGACGACTACAAGCTGCAGTCCGCCACCTGCGGCCAGGACTCCGTGGCCATTCCCGCGCACTTCCAGCGCCCGGTGGGGATAGGCATCTACGGCCACCCGTCCCACCAGGAGAGTGACTTCGAGATGAAGGTGTTCTATGACCGGACGGTGGACCAGTACCCCCTGGTCGAGGCCTACCCTTCGGATGGGGCGGACGCCGGCCAGAAGCACGCCCATGCCCCGAAGGAGGCGTCGCAGGAGGAGGAGTCCGTTCTGTGGACCATACTAATAAGCATCCTGAAACTGGTACTTGAAATTCTTTTCTGATTCCTGGAGCATGCTCTGGAGAGTAATACTATTCATCATTGGAAAAAGTGGCTGCAGTGTGCTGTGAATCTTGCTACATTTACTCTGTTGAAATTCTAGCTACCTTTGTGCATAAGGGATGGAAAATAGAGCCATAGGGTTTTGTTACCTCAGTTACCTCAAAAATAGGAAAAAGGAACAAGCATAGTATCTGTCAAGACAAAACTCCTGTGAAAATAATATGCTACAACTGTGCTTCAATTACTCCATTCTGATTAGTTTATCAGATTTGGTCAAGAGATTATTGCAGTCATAAATTACAGGTTGATAACTATAATCTTACTGCAGACAGTCTAAAAGTTTAACTTGTTAAGTTTTCAGGAGTTCCTGAAGTCCGGTCAGAAACGTCATTTATTTACACCTCCTGGAACACAGACTGGAGTCTCAAGCCCTTGGTCTAAGTAGGAACATGGTACATTCTATCCAAACAGTGGCTGGCACTAAGGTATCCACACGCTTCTTGTTCCTGTGCCAGTTAATGAAAGCTCTCAACCCACCTGCACAACGACTTAAGAGGTTATTTAACAGCTTATTCTTGGGTCACATAGTGAGTTATGCTCATTATTGTTGGGCAGAAACACAAATTAGGAAAGCTTAATGAAAAATAGTAAATTTTCAGGCTAATGAAGGAATAGTTAAAATATTTTCAATTAGATTACTAAGTGTTTCTACTGAACTCTTTAAGTTCAAAACATTTATGAGATAAAATTCCTTTGAAAGATCAACTATTTCTCTGCCTGGAAATAGGCTTAAGGGGAAGAGTAGTTCAAAGTGAAATAAATCAACTTGTAGAATTTTAAGCTCATAGATAATTTCAAAAATCTTTTATTGGCATAAAAATGAAAATGTAAATAAATTGGCACCAAATATTTCACTTCAGTGCATATGTAACATTTGGGTCAAAAAAACTATATTATCCCTCTTTGCTGTTTTTACCCCTTCTGCCCACTTTCCTGGGTGTTGGGGGAGCTCGCTGACAACAGTCACAAATCCAGCGACCTAGGAGAAAAATTGTTAGTTAATATAGAGTGGAATTTTATTTTTATAGGATCAATTATTAAGCTGTTTAAACTCTTAGCTGTTACTAATGGTAATCCCTGGCAGATATTTGGAGGAAAAGTACTGCTAAGTTCCTTACATGGAGAAAATGTGAACATCCAGTATTCCACGCAAACAATGCTGAGTACAATTCGGTGCAGGGCAAGGGGGTGCAATGCTATATAATAATGGGAGCCTTTAAAACTACTGTAATCCTCTCCCTAAAATTCAGACACTATCCTACTTTATGAGCTCAATAATACAAATCCTAATATAAAACTTGTCACTGAGTTTGCGTTTGTTCAGCCTTTTGGTCAGCTCTCTTAACAGCCATTTCTCTAGGAACTGGGGAGATGGCTCAGTAGAATAAGCGCTTGCCTGGCAAGCGCAGTGGGGCCTGAGTTCAATCTCCAGTTCTGCAAAAAAAAAAAAAAAACCAGCCATCTCTCAAGTCCTGGTGTACTGTGCTGATAAAGCACTTTAAAACTTCAAGTTTTTAACAGCACAATGATAAGCTATATTACATATTTGATCTGAATTACCACACAACCCTGAATAAAGTTGCTTGTTTCTAGAGGAGTCCCAAGAAACTAGTTCGAAGCATATATTTTATGGAGTATTATATAGTATTAACTATGCAAATAAATTCAGAAATTGTACTTATCTGTGTAATAATTACTGTGATTTACTCTTTTTTTTTTTTTTTTTTTTTGCGGAACCAGGGATTGAACTCAGGCCGCTGTGCTTGCCAGGGAAGTGCTTATTCCACTGAGCCATCTCCCCAGCCCCTATTTACTCTAATTCTGTCTTCATTCTAAAGTTATATGGAACTGTCCCACTGCCTCAGTTTGAGATTTGTTTTAATATGTATAAAGGTGTATAGAAATAAAGTCAAAGTTTTGAAAGAAATTGATGCTGCACAATGAACTACAAAACTGCCTGCCATTTGGACACCTCATTTGTTCATTAGTGGCACCGTCTACAGATGAAAAGCAGGTAGACATGGCCTGAAAGGCGCAGCTTCAGTCACGTGTGAACAGGAGTTCTAGGCCATGTCTTCATGTACTACGGTGCTTATGCAGCCTTAAAGACAGAAGTGCTGGGAGTCGTAGCTCTTAAAGACAATGTGCTTTTTGTTGTTTAATCTTTACCTGATGGAATAGCACCAAGGCCAACACAAAAAGTATGATAACCTCTGTCACACACATCACAGAACATCATTTCTTCTTCATGGTGGGGTTGTCCACATACAATGCATGTCTTACATTCCATACACTGCCATGGGTAGGTCTTAATCATAGAAACAAGCTCCGCGCTCATATCCAGGCAAGAAGGATGGCCTAAATCAAAACCAACATTAGTAGCATTTCATAGAAGAACCTTCAACTTAATATGGCATATAAAATACAAGTTTGCTTTAGGATTTCCCCAGGAATGGCTATAATGTTAAATTATCAAAGACAGGAAAATACAGAATAGAAGAAAACACATAGATTTTTGTCTCTGCCTTAACTTATCCTATATATCTGATGTCCTTTGGAAATCTAGCTGACAGCTATAAATTCTAGTTGTGAAGCAACAAATAGGGTAGGGTTAAAAATCTTAAGAAGACTTCTCCATACTTACCACTGTTATCACACTGGGAGCAGTGTATAAGTGATTCAGCTTTTCCTTTCTTGTTGGACTCCTTACCCTTCAGACAAATTCCACATAGAGCATTTGGAATGACCTTTGGCTGGAAGGGTAGAAGAGGGCTATAAATTCATGCCAGAAGAGCTTGTTATGGGTTCAAAAGGAATTCTGTTACTTCATTACCTTATGTTTAACTTGCTAATGAGATCCTTTTTGAAAGATGTTAATTGAACTTGTTTGCTTACAAATGGACTACTGCTGAAAGCCTTAGATTTCATTTTGAAATTCATTAATAGCATAATCTTTTAATAGCATAAGATTAAATGTAGCAGTCTTTTTATTTCCTACATGAGTAGTAAGGTATGTATAATGAACCAGAAGGACAAATGAAATACAATGTCAAATGTCACTACTGGAAGAGAAAATCCAAGAATAAAATGACCACTACATAAGGTAAGCCTAAATTTTAAGCAGTTTAGATACTGAGTTTGTTTAAAAACTGGTATTTTCCAAAGCTGTAAAACTGAACTATAAAAGTTAAGTTAAAACAATGTGCTAACATTTTCAACTGCAAAATGTCTTCTTATACATTATCATGTGCATAAATGTAGGAAATGACTTGTGGGATTCATTTTCATGTCTATCAAAACAGAAGAACCCACACTGTCATACAAAGATTCGCTATAAGATATAAAATACTAAACAGTTTTCAGAGAAGAAAAAATATAGTCAGATTATAAAATGCATATGGCAGTGTTGGGACTTTATAAACAATTTGGCAACACAAGGACAAAGGAAAACAATGCCCGATACCTAGTTACCAGCCCAGGGAAATCAAGAGTCTTGACTTGAAAAGCAGCTGACTCTTGTAATCACTGGTAGGCAAAAAACACAGGAAAGGAAGTGGGGCTAAGAATGAAAAGGAGAGCAGGGGAATACAATATGAACTGGGAAAGGAGTTATTTTAAGTAGAACTGTTACATTTCTGCTTTATTCAGCACATCCAAATGCATCTTGTGTCTCTCTGAATTACTGCACCGAAGAAGAATCTCACTAATACTTTGTGTAAAGTATTCCAGCTTTGAAACGTCTTACTGCTAGACCTGTTAGGCCTAAAGTATTTGTTCTTACTTCAAGTTTTTATTTTTTAAATTAGCTTTCTTTGCAAAAGATGACAGAGACATTTAAAAACAATTTTTGGCTTATTTATTTAAAAAAATCAACCTTATACATAAATATGATAAAAACAATAGCTAAACAATCACAAATGTCTCTACAAAATAATAAATATCATGGAAGTTAAACATACATATAAAATGTCATCATTAACTATTCTATAGCTCCTACAGGTATTATTATACCCTGCTCCCAACAAAAGACAGAGTCACATGCTCAAACCTTAAGTCCTGCAGTGCAGCTTCCCTCTGCTCTTACTGCTACATTCCAAGTGCATGGCTCGCTGTGTGCTCCTCCGCCTCGACAAAAACTAGGATGTTAACTCTCATTATCCAAGTCCTGAATGGATTATGATCAAATCTCTAACTGCTGTAATAGCAGAAATCTACCTCTCAATCCCCTAAAACTAAGAAATCTGCTGATTATCGTGCCTGGGCTAAATATAAAAGATCTACATATTTAATACTTGTAGTTTAACTTATATACTGGCTTAGTAAGTACTATCATTCACTCAAGTAACCACACAACATTAAACTCTAAAATGAGAACTCTTCAGAGTTCCTTTGTAAAACAGAAGTCAAAAGGAACAAAACAAGGCTAGTCATTCACATTCTAGAGCAATTCAAGTTCTACAATCATTAAAGTATACATCAATGCCTATAATAAAAGGACAGTAAAAAAATTCTAAATTTATTTCTAAGCTCAAATCAGTGTTTTGCTAAACCTAAAAATTATCTTTACCCACTAAGTCTTCACCTTGACAAAGAGGAAATAGAAGGAGAGAGCTTTGCAGCACTTTCTACCATGGCTCTGAAGCTCAGCACTCAGAAGCCCTGGGCACGTCAGTATCTGAGCTCTCCAAGCAGCCAAGGTACCTACATCTAGGACCTCACAGAATCTAGGTGGGGAGCTCTCTGTCCCCCACAGACTGCAGCGTGGAGGGAGGAGGCAGGAAAACAATGTTTAATGAAACAGCCCTACCTGTGTCTGACTGACACACTACCCTACTTCAGAAAACTACACCACCACCAAAGCCGAGCTGAGGACAAAGCTAGAATATTCATCCCAGTAGTTCTCAGCATCTCAAATGAAAGGTAAGTTAGACCTTCATGGTACCATTAACGTAGCATAGATTTTAATTATACATTTTAGGCCTGAATGCTAGCAATATGCTTTAATTTCAGGTTAATATAACCCAGACAATACTGTCCTACAAATTTAGGGCAAGCACTAGTGAATCTTATTAAACAAAACATCAGATACATTATCATTTGTTTTAACTCTATTTTAAAAGTGTGTTGGGTGGGGGGGATGCATGTGAGAAAGCTTCAGCTTGAGGTACCCTAATATTCAGGCACATCTTGGCTTATGAATACTTTAATAGGTTAATTTTTAATAAATATTTTCACATTAATGTATAACATCTAGATACTGATACCATCTTTGAACTACCTG